CTTGGGATGAATTCCCCCTTGAGGGGTGCAAGGGGTGCAGGTCTGGCAGGAGGAGGGTATTTTCTCGAGTATTGTTGGGAGGACATTTCCTGTGAGGAAGGTGGAGATGTAAAGGAGTAGGGGTTGGTACCCAGTGTGGAAAGAATTAGGTATGGATTGTAGAATGTCCTCTGCCTGAGACTGTGGGAGTCGGAGTTTGTTTTCTAGTATGTACCAACCATCCTTCCGAGGCAAGGAAGAGTAGCGGCCTTTTCCGTGGTGGAGTATGATGGAGTATGAGAGTCAGGAAATAAATGTGGGGTCCTGGGGGCCGAGTGGCTATTTTCTTCACCACTCGGTCTGCTATGTTATTTCCCGTGGATATAGGGGAGGTGTATTTCTGCTGTCCTCGACAGTGGATGATGGCTACTTGTTTTGGTAAGAGGGCTGCCTGAAGTAGGTTTTGTATGTAAGAATGGTTTTGAAGGGGGTCTCCTTTGGTTGTGAGAAAGCCCTGCTCCTGCCAAACAGCTGCAGCCGAATGTAGGATGTGGTAGCAGTATTTTGAGTCAGTGTATATGTTGACTGTTTTGCCCGAAGACAGAGTTAGAGCCCTTGTGAGGGCAATTAACTCGGCCTGCTGGGAGGTCGTCCTCACGGTAACGATTGAGCCTCGAGAATAGAGTGTTGCCCAGTGGTGATGGCATAACCTGCTCGGGTAGATCCTCGTGACGTTCTAAGGGAACTTCCATCTATAAATAGGGTGAGGTCCGGAGCAGGGAGGGGGTAGAGGTGAGGTGGGGAAAGGGGTTGGAAAAATGTGTGAGCGTTTCGATGCAGCAATGAGTGGGGGTGAGGAGGAAGTCGGTAGGAGCGTGGCAGGGTTTAGGCTGGAGCATGGCTGAAAGGTACGTTCAGGGTTTTCAATGAAAATGATGTGGATTTGTTGTAAACGGGAGGGTGATAAGTGGGTTAGGGCCTTGTGAGACAGTAGGTCTTGAAGGTTGTGTGGGGCTCTAATGAGCACCCTCTGACCAAAGGTAAGTTTTTTGCTCTCAAGGGCCAGGAGGGCCGCAGCCGCTAAGGCCCTGAGGCAGGGTGCCCACCCCTTGCATGTTGGATCCAGTTGTTTTGAGAGGTAGGCTACCAGCGCAAAGGGTGGTCCCTTTTGTTGTCCAAGGACCCCAAGGGCGAGTCCTTGCTGTTCAGTAACATAAAGTATGAAATCTGAGTTTAAGTCTGGGAGATGTAGGGCCAGTGCCCGAAGGAGGGCCTATTTGAGTTTAGTAAAATGTGTTTGTACAGGGAGTCTGGGGTCTGGTGGTTCCGAGAGCTCTCCTCTGGTTGCCTCATACAGGGGCTTTGCTAGGAGGCTGTAGTTAGGAATCCATGACCGGAGGAAGCCTGCGATTCCCAGGAAAGAAAGGAGCTCCTCTTTGGTTGAGGGAGTCGGTATAGAGGCAAAGACATGTTTTCTATCAGTGGTGATAGCCTTTTTCCCCGGGGTCAGTTGTACTCCTAGGTATGTGACTTGGGGTAGAGAGCTGTACTTTGGAAGGAGATACCCGGTGGCCTAACCGGCCAGGGAAGTTGAGAAGCTGGGTGGTATCTGACTGCGAGGCCTCCAAAGACGGGCTGCAAAGGAGGAGACCACAGACATACTGGATGATGGTGCTGTGGGGAGGGTGAGCTTGTTAAGATCTGCTAGGGCCTGGCCGAAAAAGTGGGGGCTGTCCCGGAGTCCCTGAGGTGGGACTGTCCATGTTAGCTGCTGGGAACACAGGGTGTCCGGGTCAGTCCAAGTGAAAGGGAAAAGATTCTGGCAATCTGGATGTAGGGGAATGGCATCTTTGAGGTCCAGGACAGTGAAGTGGGAGGTGTTCGTGGGGATGGTAGAGAGAGTAGTATATGGGTTGGGTACTACTGGGGTGATGAGGAGGATGGCTGAGTTAATAGAGCGCAGCTCCTGTACGAGTCGGTAGGTGCCATTTGGTTTGATGACAGGGAGGATTGGAGTGTTGTAGGGGGAGTTAGTGGGGATTAGGAGTCCTGAGGCTAAAAAGGTTTGAGAAGAGCCATTAAATCCTGGGAGGGTGGAGAAGATGGCCCCAGTGTCTATGAGGAAGGAGGTTTCCTTACCTGCTATGCGCAGGTTTACCCTGGGCTCACTGTTGGTGACGTGTACTGGGGCCGGTGTCCCAGGGCCTCCTCAGTCCTCTGCCGCCAGTCCCAGAAAGTCTGTTACTGTCCTAGGTGGGGCAGTCTATCCGAATGACCTTTGGCGCTCGGGGCAATCAATTCCCCAGCGGCCCTCAGGGTGACAGTGTGGGCAAGGCCCGAGGTTTTGGGCACTGTCTCGCCCAGTGGCCCATTTGTTTGCATTTGAAGCAGGGACCAGGAGGATTTGACTGAGGAGGTTGTCCCCTAGAGCCTCGGCCCCTCGGACCAGTGTTCCCTTGAGGGGCCTTCGCCAGCACAAGGTAGTTCTCCTGTTGTCTTTTCTGCTGCTCTTCCCTCTCCGTTTCCCCCCCGGTTGTTACAGACCTTAAAGACAGTATGTAAGAGCTCTCTCCGAGGTGCCTCGGCCCGTCCTCAAGTTTTTTGAGTTTGCGTCTAATGTCAGGGGCAGATTGGGAGATGAAAAAGGAGTGTAGGAGGGTGGTCCCCGCTGGGGAGGTGGGGTCCATGACAGTGTATCTACGAAAGGCCTGGGAGAGTCATTCTAGGAATTCTTCCGGATTTTCTTGGGGCCTTTGAACGGTTTCTTTGATTTTGTCATAATTGACGGCCTTATTGGCTAGTTTTTCTAAGGCCTGAAGAAGGTAGTCTATAAGACAGTCACGATCCCTATGATTAGCATGGCCAATTTGATAATCCTATTTGGGTCATTGGGGGGAACTGCTTCTCCCCCTAGAGGGAGGTTATTGTCCCGGGCATGTGCCTCATCTGCTACTTGCTGGGCCGTCGCCCACACCCCCCCCCTATCGTGTGCAGAGAGGGAGGAAGTAGGATGATAGAAAGACCGTGCCAGGGAAGATCATACGATTGACTGAGGTATCGGAACTCCCTGATGTAGGTGTCGGGATCAGAGGAGAAGGAGCCAAGGCGGCATTCAATTTGGGCTGAGTCAGAGAGGGAGAAGGGGATGGCTACACACACAATTCCCTCGGTGCCAGCTGCTTCCCAGAGCAGATATAAACCAGTCTGGGGAGGTTTACGTGGGCGGAGAAAGGGGGGAGATGCGGAGGAAGGCGTGTCTGGTGGAGAAGAGGCATCAGATAAGGCAGAGGTGGAGCGGCAACCGGACAAGGGGGTGTATCTGGGGCAGGAGGAGTATGGGGCAGGCGGAGGGGGAGGAAGAGGAGAAAAAGGTGTGGCCGAGTGGTCTTGAGGGTCAAAAGAATCGGTAGAAAAGAGGGGGATTGGGGATCGGGCAGGAAGGACTTGGTGGGTGGAGCAGGCAGAGCAAAGGGAAGGGTGAGAGTGGAGAAAGAAAGCCTGCACGCAGGAGTTCCTGAGGCCTTGCTTGTCTGGTGGCAGAAATGATCTAAGTCTATTAGAATATTGAAGTCAAAAGTGCCATTTTCTGGCCGTTGAGAGTTATTGTTGAGTTTATATTGAGGCCAGGCCATATTGCAGAGGAGTACGAGTTTGCGGGGCCTCAAATCGGGGAGGCCGAGGTTGTTTAGATTTTTCAGTAGACAGCCAAGGGGGCTTGAGCGAGGCGGTTTAGATTGAGACGACCCCATTTCATAGAGAGGCAATGACAGGAGAGGGTGTCCCCGTCTCCATCAAGGCCTCGGGAGGACAAGCCTGCAGGAAGGACAGATCAAGAAGGAGTTGTCACCCCGACTTGAATGTCCGAGTAGTGAGAGACCCGACTGGGTCCCTAGATTTCGAGGCGAGAGTGAGATAGGGCCACTTGGCAGATAGGGATGTGTCAAAATTGAAACCGTGTGCAGGTGAAAAAATAAGGGAGAATAAAGGAGAGAAAGAGTGTGAGAAAGAGAGAGGGCAGGGGCCTAAAATTTGGAAGGTCCACGAGAAAGGGGAGTAAGAAATTCCCTACCTCCTGGTTCCGCAGGTAGGAGAGAGTCCGGGATGGGTTGGAGCCGGCCAATCCACCCAAACCACAGTCCACCCAGAATCTGGGAGTTAGCCTGGGCGAGCTTCTGCAGCCCACTGCTTCCCAGGTAGTAAGGGTGGTCTGTGCTGGGGATCGTCCAGGCTACCCAGCTCCTCCCGGGTTTGGGCACCATTATGTAGGAACGGGAGCTGAGTAACCGGGAAGTGCAGGTTTACTGAGGGAAATACCTGCTGGGCTGCCTCCAAGTGAGCGCAGCAGGGTTCATACAGACTAAGGGTTTTAAACTTAGGGCTGGGGTGGGGGGTTGCCCAGCGAGGAGTCGCAGTCATCCTTGATTGGTGGGGGCTGGGGTGTTTCCAAGAGCAGCTGTTTAGGTTTGAGTGGGGGTTTCAGGAGACTGCTTCCCGATAAGCTTTGGTTTCCTGGAACAAGGGGTTTGGGGCGAGGTTAAACAGTAAGAGGCTGGGGGTAGTAATATGGAAGTCAAAGTTAAAAGGGACAAGGAGATGGGTGTGTAGCCTCATTCTCTCTCTTTTTTTTTTTTAATCCTCACCCGAGGACATTTTTCCATTTTTTGTTCAGATAGAGTGGGAGGGAGAGTGAGGAAGATGAGAGAGCGAGAGAGAGAGAAACATCGACGTGAAAGGGACACATTGAGTGGCTGCCACCCGCACGACCAACCAGGGCCGGGGACAAACTGCAGCTGAGGTACATGCCCTTAGCGGGAACCGAACCCCGGTCTCTCCAGACCACAGGCCGACACACTAACTGCTGAGCCAAACCGGCCAGGGCGCCTCGTTCTCTTTTGGGGCCCTAGAGCTTTGTGTCTTTCCATACACTTATCTCCCAGACTTGGCTCATTGGAAGCAGAACTGTCACGTGCATGCACTTTCCCCTTCTCTTACCCTTAACTGCCTGTGGTGTGTTTTCACAGAAGTCCCACCAGAGCTGACTCACGAGAGCTCTTCCAGGAAGTGAGGTCATGCGGTGCTGAAGACCGGCCAGCCGCAGCCTGGGGATTTTGGAGTGGTCACTAATGGGCAAGGTGTCTGGGTTCCTGAGGAAATTTGCCCACCGGTCCTGGCTGAGTCTCAGCATTTCTCTGCAGACCCTGTTGAGAAGAAGCAAGACAACAGCAACATGAAGAAGAAGAGGGAGCTGCTACCCAAACACCTCAGTGCCTGGGACTGCCCTCAGGGTCATTACCTCCCTCCCATCTTTTTCTTTCAGACTGCGTAGACACATTTTGTTTACTTGCTAAACTCTGAAGCAGCAGAGCTTTGTGGGTAATGACGCCCTATCCCTGGGCCTCATTTCTGCATCTTAGATGGGAGCAATCACAGTGCTGAGTGCACACGGTTGTTGGGAGTAATGAATGAGGTAACCTGTGGAAAGTGCTTTAGACAGGTGCTGGGCGTCCGGCAGCTGTTAGTGTCAGTTCCGCCTGTACTGTTGTACCTGTGTGCAAGTATGTCTAGAGGCGAGTGCTTCTGCTGATTCAGGAGCGCAAATCTGTGGCTACCTGCTACCCCTGGGCGTTTGTGTTTGTTTGTTTGTTTTTTTCTTAAATTTTTTCTTTATTGATTTTTAGAGAAAGAGGAAGTGAGAGGGAGAGAGAGATAGGAACATCGATGAAAGAGAACATTAATTGGCAGCCTCCTGCATGCCCTGCACTGGGGATTTGGCCTACAAAGTGAGCATGTGCCCTGACTGGGAATCGAACCAGCGACCTCTCAGTGCATGGGTGGACGCCCAACCACTGAGCCACACCGGCTGGGCAAGGACTTCTTTGTTCTTATAGCCCTATCTCGTGCACACCAAAGCTGTTTCCCCAGGAATATTGAGGATTATTATTTTTTTTAAATCCACACCAATAGATATGCTTTCACTGATTGAGAGAGAGAGAGAGAGAGAGAGAGAGAGAGAGAGATTGATTGGTTGCCTCCCTCCTCTATTCACCCCGACTGGGAATTGAACATGCAAGTTAGGTATTGCCCTGACTGGGAATCGAACCCGAAACATTTTGGCAATTGGGGACGATGCTCCAACCAATCTAGCCACCCAGCCAGGGCCTTGCTCCCTCTTAAATTACTCACCTTGTGGGGTCTGTGGAGGCCAAGGCTGGGTTCGGAAAGGAGAGGTTGGTTACAAGTGGGTCAGAGAAATTCTATCTTATGGTTTTCTCACCTCATTTGTTCCTTTAGGCTTCCAGACTCTGGAGGCAGTTTAGATTCGTGGATTTCCCCTGAAACTTTCTGATTTCTCTAACCACATGGTGGGCCAGGGCCTTTCCACCAGAATCTGAAATCACTCTTGTCCCTGAGCCCCATAAATGCCCATTCTGACTCAGCTCTGTTAGGAACTCATAATTCTCCCAGGTACACGTTCTGCAATGTTTCTCACCTTTCCTTTGCTCATACAACCGAGGCTTGTACTACACATTTGACAATGAGTAATACAGTTTCTTGTGACATCTCTCTTTCCTAATGGACTATTAAAACTTTTATTGCTATTTTAATTGTCAGAGTTCATGCTTTATTTCTTCTTCCCGGTTATTTTGCAAGCTCCCTAGTGAATTCTTTGTGCCTCTGAGTGTACTTTCTAGGAATATCTCATGTCCTTAAGTAGATTCTAGAGAACATATGAATTCTGTGAAATCACTAGGCCACACCACATCCTCAGTGATTTTTCTCTTCTCCTTATAGGCCCAGTAGGTTTACACAACATTGGACAGACCTGCTGCCTTAACTCCCTGATCCAGGTATTGCTTATGAACATGGCCTTCACCCAGATACTGAAGAGGTAAGACTATCATGCAGGCTATAAACATGTAGATTACTTACTTTAGTTTTCAAATATTCACTTATTCACAGTGACTTAGACTTCTTAAAAATAATTTTTTAATTTTTCAATTACAGTTGACATTTAATATTATATTAGTTTCAGATGTATAATATAGTGACTAGACATTTGTATAACTTACAAAGTGATCAGCCTGATAAGTCTAGTACCTATCTGGCTCCATACATAATTATCACAATACCGTTGCCTATTCCTTATGCTATACTTTACATCCCTGTGACTATGAATGTGTACCTATTAATTCCTTTACCTTTTCACCCATCCTCCCAACCCCACTCCCATCTGGCAACCTTCAAAGTGTTCCTGTATTTATCAGTGTTTCTGTTTTTTTGTTTGTTTGTTTTAAACTCCACATATAAGTGAAATAAGAAGATATTTGTCTTTGTCTTTGTCAGATTTATTTCACTTAGTATAAAACCCTCTAGGTCTATTATGTTGTTGCACATGGCAAGATTTCATTCTTTTTAATGGCCAAATAATATTCCACTGTATATGTGTACCACTTCTTCTTTATCCCTTCATCTGTTGATGGGCACTTAGGTTGCTTCCATATCTTGGCTATTAAAAATAATGCTGCAATGAACATAGGGGGTGCATATATCTTTCCAAATTAGTGTTTTGGGTTTCTTTGCCTATATACTCAGAAGTAGAATTGCTAGGTCCTTCTTTGTCTCTTGTTACAGCCTTTGTTTTAAAGTCCATTTTGGCCCGGCCGGTGTGGCTCAGAGGTTAAGCTTTGACCCATGCACCAAGAGGTCGCTGGTTTGATGCTGGTCAGGACACATGCCCAGGTTGTGGGCCAAATCCCCACTGGGGGACATGCATGAGGCAGCCAATCAGTGTTCTCTCTCATCGATTTTTCCACTCTCTATAAAATTAGTAAAGAAGAAAAAAAGTCCATTTTGTCTGGTATAAGTATTGTTAACCCAGATTTTTTTTTTGTTACCATTTACATTAAAAATCTTTTCCTGCCCCTTTACTTTTAGTCGGTGTGTGTCTTTCAATCTCAAGTGAGTCTCCTGTATTCAACATATGTAAGGGTCTTGTTTTCTTATACATTCAGCCACTCTATATCTTTTGATTAGAGCATTGAATGCATTTACATTTAAAGTAATTATTGATAGGTAGTTATTGCCCTTTTATTATAATACTTTTTATCTTTTTTTTCTTTTTGAAGTCCCCTTAACAATTCTTGTCATACTTGTTTGGTGGTGATGAAATCTCTTAGTTTTTTCTTATTTGGGAAGTTCTTTTTAAAACATTTTTTAAAATTTATTTTTGTTTTTCAACTTATTTTTATTGTTGAATCTATTACAGATATCCCTCCTTCCCCCCCCCCATTGGCCCCCTCCTCCCCACTCCTGAGCCCCTCCTGCCTTCCCCACACTGTTGTCTGTGTGCATTGGTTATGCATAGAAGTTCTTTGGTTTATTCTTCCCACTCCCCTTCCTTTTGATGTTCCTCAGTCTAACAACCAATTTGTACTTAATCCCTTCACCTTTTCCACCTATTCCCCCCCGCCCCGCTCCCATCTGGCAACCAACAAAAAGTTCTCTGTATCTATGAGTCTGTTTCTGTTCTGCGTGTGAATTTTGTTTGTAGATTCTGTTGTTGATAGATATGTATTTATTGCCATTCTATTGTTCATATTTTTTCCTCCTTCTCTCCCTCCTCCTCCTTCCCCGCTTGACCCATCAACATTTTATATAATACTGGTTCGGTGGTGATGAACTCCTTTAGCTTTTTCTTGTCTGAGAAGCTCTTTGTATGTCCATCAATTCTAAATGATAGTTTTGCAGGATAGAGTAACCTTGGTTGCAGGTCCTGGCTTTTCATCACTTTGAATATTTCTTGCCACTCCCTTCTGGTCTGCAAAGTTTCTCTTGAGAAATCAGCTGAGTCTTATGGGAGCTCCCTTGTAGGTAACTAACTGTTTTTCTCTTGTTGCTTTTAAGATTCTCTCGTTGTACCCTGGCCGGTTTGGCTCAGCGGTTAGAGTTTCGGCCCGCAGACTAGAGAGTCCCAGGTTTGGTTCCCGCTAAGGGCCTGTACCTAGGTTGCAGTTTGTCCCCGACTCTGATTGGGGTTGTGTGGGTGGCAGCAAATCGATTGTCTCACTCACGTCAATGTTTCTCTCTCTCTCTTCCTCCCCCTTCCCTCCTGCTCTACCTGAAGATAAATGCAAAAATGTCCTTGGGTGAGGATTAAAAGAAAAACAAAAAGATTCTCTCGTTGTCTTTAACCTTTTGCATTTTGATGATGATGTGTCGTGGTGTGGGCCTCTTTGGGTTCATCTTGTTTGGGACTCTCTGTGCTTCCTGGACTTGTATGTCTGTTTCCTTCACTAAATTAAGGAAGTTTTCTGTCATTATTTTTCCAATTAGGTTTCCAATTTCTTACTTTCTTTTTTCTCCTTCCAGCACCCCCATGATGCACATATTGGTACACTTGCAGTTGACCCAGAGGCTCCTTACACTGTCCTCATTTTTTTGTATTTTTTTTTTTTTTCTGATTGGGTGTTTTTTGCTTCCTTATATTCCAAATCAGTGGATTGCTTCTTGACTTTGCCTACTCTATTATTTATTTTTTATTTTTTTATCTTCACCTGAGGACATTTTTTGTTCAGATAGAGTGGGAGGGAGAGAGAGGAAGAGAAAGAGAGAGAGAAACATTGACGTGAAAGGGACACATTGAGTGGCTGCCACTCGTACAACCCAACCAGGGCTGGGGACAAATTGCAACCGAGGTACATGCCCTTAGCGGGAACCGAACCTGGGTCCCTCCAAACCGCAGGCCAATGCTCTAACCGCTAAGCCAAACTGGCCAGGGCGGCCTACTCTATAATTGAGTCTCTGTGAATTATTCTTGATTTCAGTTAGTGCATCCTTCATTTCTGACTTTTTTTGATGCTCTTGAGGTCCTCACTATGTTCCTTGAGCATTCTTATAACCAGTGTTTTGAACTCTGCATCTGTTAGATTGCTTATCTCTGTTTCATTTAGTTATTTTACTGGAGTTTTGTTCTGTTCTTTCATTTGGGACATGTTTTTTTGTGTCCTCATTTTGGCTGCCTCCTTGTGTTTGTTTTTATGTATTAGATAGAGTTGCTATGTCTCCTAGGCTTTCTAGGGTCGTCTGTTGTACAAGGTATCTTGTAGAGTCCAGTGGCACAGCCTCCCTGATCACCCCAGCTGTGCCCTTATGTGGACTGTACAACCCTTCTGTTGTAATTGAGTCTTGGTTGCTGTTGGCACATCAGTGGGAGGGATTTACTCGGGCTGATCAAACTAGAAGGGCTGGCTGGGCCCACTGACCACTGACCTCTGACTACCTTGGAAGATCAACTGTGCAGGGGCCCACCACACAAAGCAAGACTTACTTCAGCAAGGCTCTGGTACCCACTGAGTCCACTCTTTGAGTGTGTTGCTTGTGGAGGTGGTGCTTTGATGTGGTCTGAAGTTGTCCATTGTGTGTGCTGGCTCTGGGGCAAGGTCAGCTACTGCCTATATTCTACCTGGGGCTACCAATATAAGCAACAAAGTGACCTGCAGATGGTTGCTTCTTGTGTTTGGCTTGGAGGTGCTCAGGCAAAGCCAATTGTGATCCAAGGCTGGCTGCTACTAGTGCTAGGCCTGGGGCCACTTAACGAGAGGTATGGGGCTCACTGAGGCCAGATGCTGCTTGTTTGAGAGATTTTAAGAAAATCTGAAGCCGGAGCCAAGACAGGCCAATCTTATGGTAAAGCCACTGGAAACAGCTTGAGTGGGCCTGAAAGTTGGGTGGGGCAGGTTGGCTTCAGGGAATCCTCAGGGTGGGGCAAACAGTGTGAGCCAGGTTAGTCCCAGATATGGTGCCCCTAGGGGAAGGGCTCACCAAAGGAACAATGACCTCCACCAGCACATATGTCCAGGAGAAAACTGCTTCTCCAGCTCTCGCCCCAATGCCAAACAACTCAGTTCTTCCCCGTATGTCTCTCTGGTGCTTTTCAAGCTGCCTTCTCTATACTGGAGCCTGGAGGGAGCAAGTCCGAGTAAGTCCATGGGTGAGCTGTTTAAGAGGAACTGCCTGGGACTCCAATAGCTTCATCCTCCCTCAGCCTCAATTCCTGCTGGTTTTTATATCCAAAAGTTATGGGGACTTCTCTTCCTGGCACTGGAACCCTGAGCTGGGGGTCCTGGTGTTGGACCAGGATTCCTCAATCCTCAGGAGGACCTTCACAGTGGAGGTATTCCTCTTGATTTTTTTAGTTTGTTTAATCTTATCTTCATGAGCTCTAACTAACATCACTTTCTCAGAGAGGCCTCCTATTTTTAAAAAATATTTTTCTTTATTTATTTAGAGAGAGAGGAAAGGAGAGGGAGTAAGATACAAACATCAACGAGAGAGAGCATTGATCGGCTGCCTCTTGCATGCCCCTACCTGGGATCGGCCTGAAACCTGGGCATGTGCCCTAACCGGGAATCAAACCAGACACCTCTTGGTGCGTGAGCTGAGGACACTCAACCACTGAGCCACACTGGCCAGGCTGCCTCCTGATTTTTATTTGTCACATGTGGGTGTTGGACCAGCCCTTCCATGCCTCTGCCCCTCCTACCAGTGTGGATGTGGCTTCTTTAATTTCATAGTTCCATTCAGCTCAGTTTCAGGCAGTTCTGGATGATGGTTGTTCTGTAGTTTAGTTGTAATTTTGATGTGGTTGGAGGAGAGACAAATACTGCATTTATCTACGTTGCCATCTTGACAGAAGTCTCCTGGGAAGCTCTTTATTTCTCCTTTGATTTTAAATTATAGCTTTGCATTGTATAGTAATCTTGGTGTAAGTCCTTACTTTTTATCACTTTGGATATTTTGTGCCAATCCCTCCTGGACTGCAAAGTTTCTGTTGAAAAATCAGGTTATGGTCTTCTTGTTAGTTACCCTTGTAGGTAACTAATTGCTTTT